ACCCCCGAAACGGCCGGTCGGCGGTACCAAAGGGGCCGCCGGAAGTCCAGAAATGGCTGCCGGCAGCCGTTTTCGCACCCTGCCCTCGCTTAGCGAAGGCGCGAAAATGGCTGCCGGCACCTGGAATCCTCGCTGAACGGGTAAGTAACAAAGGTATTGGAACGCATTAAACGAAGTTTAATGCGTTCCAATACATTTCCCCTACCCGTTTAGTGACGATTTCGCATAGCGAGGGTTAATCCGGAACGGATTAACCTCGCTATGCGGGGCACCACTGTATTTGAATAAATGTAGACCAGGGGTGTTAAACACAAGGCCCGCGGGCCAAATCCGGCCCGCCAGACCTCGTCTGATGGCCCGCGGAGCCGCCGCCAGCCTTGCAGCCTCCCCTTTTTTTTTCAATGAATTTACTCCGTGCCTGCACAGAGTAAATTCATTTTAAAAATGGCTCAAGTTAACAAAAAAAAATTTTTTACTTACCTTCCGGGACCTGGCCCGACTTCTTCCTGCCCCGCACTGCTCCCTGGGTGTCGGACATGACGTCATCACGTGACGTCCGTCCGACATCTCCAGGGATCAGAGGAGCGCGCGGACGCCGCGGAGAGGAGGGGGGGTCGGAAGGAGAGAACAGTCCTCCGCAGAACCCGACCCGCATCTTGCGTGCACGTGAGAACGGGAGCATCCTACCTCCCTGGTTTGTTTCCCCCCTTTTTTTCCAGGGTGGGGCGGGCTCGGCCTCCCGGATCGCCTTTGGAACTCCCCCCCGTTTTCTTTCCCCTCCTTCCTTCACAATCTGGGGGCTCAGCTTGCACGCCAGCCTCTTCTCTTCTCTCCCCCCCTCGTCCCCTTTCCTCTTCCCTCACCCCCTCCTTTCTTTCAATAATTGATCGCCACCCTAAATAATAGATCCCGGGGCTTTTGTTGGCCTCTCCTCCCAGTTATTTATATTTATTTATTTCCTATGCGCCCGGACCGCTTTGCGAGCTCCCCCGGTGGGGGGGGGAAGAGAGAGAAAGGCGAGGCGAGAGGCAGCTGGCGGCCAGATTAATGCCGAAGCCAGGCTAGGCGGAGAGAGAGCGAGAGAGAGCGGGATTCGAACCCGCCGAGCTGGGCTTTCCAACAAGGGGGGGGAAGGAGATCGAGGTGGCCCTTTGATGGGGACCAAACTGCTGATGCGGCCCCCGATGAATTTGAGTTTGACACCCCTGATGTAAACTGTTATATATATAAAAAAATCTCCTGAAAATAAGCCCTACTGTATTTTTTGGAGCAAAAATTAATATAATACCCTGTCTTATTTTCGGGGAAACACAGTAGAGTATCTGATTTTTGGAAGCAAATCTGGGAGGGGTGCTCTATGTCCTTGAATGGGAGATCACCCACCAGGGAATACCAGGAATCTCCAGGTTGGGTTCGGAAAGACGCCTGCCACTCAGTTGAGAACATTAGGGAGATCAGCCGGCAGGTTCCTATGTTCATCCTATCATATTGGAGAGCGTTCAAAAAAGTTTTAACTATGCTTTTTGGTTATCCCAGGTTCATTCCATTCAGGGGCATACGTAGCCCAGGATTTACCTGCAAGAGTTCACTTGGTGGCCGCTGACACTTCTCCTCCATCTCCTGGATGAGATGCTCCAAAGAAGAGCATTTCTCTGATAATCTGTCCAGCTGTTCCTTACTTTTCCTTGAAATCTCCATCTTCTGCTCTTCCAGGCTACCCAGGAATACCTTCTGTTCTGTATCCAGAATCTGGCAGAGCTCCTCTACTTCTGCCTTCGTGTCTTGACTCATGATTTCTATTCGTTTCTGAAACAGGCAGAGAAATGCAGGCTACACTATGGCTGGGTACATATGGTTTCCACAAATGTGTTTAAAAAAAAAAAAGAAAGAAGGCAAGGTGCCGCTCCCCCACTGACGTGAGAAATTTAGTGCATTTCAGGCAAGCTGCACAGTCCCAGGGTGGCCCCAGATGGAGGGAAGGATCAACCACTTCTGTATATTTCTCTACCTGAAAAGGGTCGTCATAACTCAGAATTGACCTGATGGCTCATCGTTGTTACAGTGCTTAACTAATTAAGAAGGGTGTAGAAAATACAGCCCTGAAGTTATTGGGCTTTAAAAATGAACTGCAGTTTACTAAAACTCACTGTGAAATAATTGGCCTGTTTTCCAACCAAGTCAAGAAGCAAGATCATTGATGCCTTGAGTTGCGAACTTAATTTGTTCCGGGATGATGGTCGTCACTCAAGTTGGTCGTAACTCAAAGCACCATTGAATACATTGAAACGCGATGAATCCGTTCCAGGCGTATTTTGGTTGTATCTCAAGGCGCTGGGTGTATCTCAAAGCACTAGTTCCCATAGGAACTAATGCAAAAGCAGTTAATCTGTCCACTAGGGGGGAACATTTTTTTAACCTAAGATGACCTTTAAGGTTTAAAAAAGGGCAGGAAAGGAGGGAGCCTTTTTTCCGGTCATATCTCAAAGCGCCGGTCACAAGTATTTTTAGAATGCAACCTACTGCAGTTTTGAAATATAACAATTTTGTTGTTGTTTAGTCGTTAAGTTGTGTCTGACTCTTCGTGACCCCATGGACCAGAGCATGCCAAACCTTCCTGTCTTCCACTGCCTCCCAGAGTTTGGTCAAATTCATGTTGGTAGCTTTGATGACACTGTCCAAACATCTTGTCCTCTGTCATCCCCTTCTCCTCTTGCCTTCACATTTTCCCA